AGACCAATTCAGAAACTTATTCCTTTCCGTTGTTTACTTTTAGTTTCTTGGTAAATTAGCTCCTTAAACCTTGAAGCTACTAGTGAGTTTGTCTGAGGCTGGATAAATGTTGCCACACCTGAGTCAATAAAGCATGAATCAGTGTGGCCCTCATTGATGGGTGTGGCACCGCTGGTTACTGTGACAGCTGGGGAGCCCAGGGAGAACTGCCCAGCAGGGAGAGGGGAAAGTAGAAAACCCAGGAAGAGAATTAGGGCCAGCCATCCTCTGCCTGTGGGGCACGTGACTTCCGTCCTCATTCCTCTGTGCGACCTCTGCAGCGCCACACCACTGACCACCATGCGGAGCTCTCCCCTGATGTCCATTTGACACTGCTCGACCTTGAGTCTCCTGCCCTGTGACGACTCTGAGCTCCCTTGCTGGACCTTCTTCCACCTTCTTTTTTTAAAATATTTTTTCACTCGTTGGTATGAAAAGTCCATTTATTGAAAGTTTTTAAGTGTAAGCATCATTAGCTTTTTCATTTTCTTTTTTTCAGCTGTGGTATATATATGTGTAACAAACCATTTGCCATTTCAACATTCTTCACATGTACAGTTCAGTGGCATTGATTATGTTCATCATGTTTTTCAACCCTCACCGTTTCCAATTTTGAACAGAAGCTCAGTGTCCCTAAGCAACGAGTCCTGCTTTTCCCTCCACCCAGCTATGGTAACCAACAATAAACTTTGGTCTCTCTACACTTGCCTAGTCTAGATATTCCATATACGTGGGATCATATGGTATTTGTCCTTTTGTGTCCAACTTCCACCTTCTTCTAGAGGGAATTTTCCGAAGTGCCATCTTTGGTCCTCACTGTGCACCTTCTGCCTGTCTCTTACTCTCAGAGAACTCATCCATGTGCATAGATTCAAGAGTCAGTTCTATGCCAGTGATTCCCTTGGCCCTGGATGCCACACTCCCCCTGACCTCTCTGCTGGACTTGAGTTCTACATCTCCATTGCCTACTAGATGTTTCCACTTGGGTGTCCTGCCATCATCTCACACTAAACATGTAGAAAACTGAACCTGTCTTCCCCCTCCCAGTTTCCAGTTTTCTTCCCATGGCATCATTCTCTCACCCACCCAAGCTCAAAACCTGAATCATATGTGACGTCTCCTCCCCATCCGTCCTTCCCAAGCGCAAGTCTTGCCAACTTCCTTTGTAACATCTCTTACAGCTCTATTCTTTCCATTCTGTTTGCTAAGCCAGGGTCTCAGCACCCCATGCCTTGAATATGAAATAGCTTCCCCTCTAGTCTTTCTTTCATACCTGGCCAGACTAATTTTCCAGAATGATTATTTTTACCCTGTCTCTCCTGCTCAGAAACCTTCAGGAGCTCTTCGTCACCACAGATAAAGTCCAAACTCCTTAGGCTCAGGCCCAAGACCCTTTGTTTGATGCCAGCCTGCCTCACTGACATTGTCTCACGTGATTAAGAGTATAAGCTCTGGAGCCAGACTCTCTGGGACCAAATCCTATCCCTGAGACCCTGGCTTAGCAGATAGAACAGAAAGGACAGAGCCGCAAGAGATGTTAAAAAGGAAGCTGGCCAGACTTGTGCTTAGGAAGGATGAATGGGGAGAAGACGTCATATATGACTCAGGTTCTCGGCTTGGGTGGGTGAGAGAATGATGATGCCACGGGGAGAAAAATGCTGTGTGACCCTCCCGGGACACGTATTTAACCTTTGTGTACCTGAGTGTTCTCTTCTTAAAAATGGGGACAATAATTGTTTCTAGGGTTGCCGTGAGGATAAAGGGCACTTAGAACAGTGCTAGATACATAGTAAGCACTCAAGTGTTAGCTTTTTATGATGTATGGTGATTTTCAGAGAGGGAGTGCCCTGCCCACTACCCACCTCTCTGCACACCTGTCCCCCCACCTCTCTGCACACCTGCCCCCCACCTCTCTGCTCACCTGACCCCCACCTCTCTACACACCTGTCCCCACCTCTCTGCACACCTGTCCCCCCTCCTCTCGTCACACCTGTCCCCCCACCTCTCTGCACATCTGCCCCCGACCTCTCTGCACATCTGCCCCCGCCATCTCTGCACACCTGTTCCCTGGGCACACTCACTGTTCCCTTCCTCCTTGCCTTTGCTCAGCCTGTTCCCTTGGTCTAGAATGCCGACTCTTAGTCATCCTTCACGGGCCAGTTACCTCCTGTTTCCTTCTGAGAGAAGCCAGCCACAGGCCAGACGTGGAAGGCTAATTTTACTTGTTACTAAGTAATTTCATCTATTTTTATCTTAGAACAACTACTCCAAACATATCATGGAGTAGAATGCAGAATTGACGGGAGATTTTTAGGATAAAATGCAAAAACTACTAAGAATGTTCAGAGTATGGCATCTTGGGCCACCCCCCACCCCAGTGGGGTCTGCAGGGGGAGGCCTGAGAAGCCCAGTCGTCGTGAGCACCAGGGCCAGGTGTGTGTGAGGGTGGCCGGGGATGGTGCCAGTCTCGGGGCTCAGCCCCCTGCATCTGGTGGGAGGGTCCCTTTAGCCCATAGTGCTCGCTCCTTCCTGAGGACTCTGTGTCTACACCACTTGTCAGTTGCCTCTTGTAGGTTCCAGGTCCAGTTGCTGTCGAGTTGACTCCAACACATGGCAACCTCTTGCATGTCAGAATAGAACTGTGCTCCATAGGGTTTTCAGTGGCTGACTTTTTTTTTTTAATTGAACTTTAGATGCATGTTTACAGAAGAAACTAGCTTCTCATTAAACGATCAGTACATATATTGTTTTATGGCATTGGTTAACAACCCCATGACATGTCAGTACTCTCCCTTCTCAACCTTGGGTTCCCGACTACCAGCTTTCCTGTCCCCTCCTGCCTTCTAGTCCTTGCCCCTGGGCTGGTGTGCCCCTTTAGTCACATTTTGTCCTATGTGTCTGTTTAATCTTTGGCTAAAAGATGGACCTCCGGAGTGACTTCATTACTGGGCTGAAAGGGTGTCTGGGGGCCATACTCTCGGGGTCAGTGGCTGACTTTTTAAAATTAAACCATCAGACCTTTCTTCCGAGTTGCCTCTGGGTGAACTCGAACTGCCAGCCTTTCGTTTGGCAACCGAGCATGTTAACCATTTGCACCACCCAGGAACTCTTCTCTTGTAGGTAGCACTTGTATTACCTTGTCTTTTAATTTCCCACGTAAGTAGGACTTATCGCTTCAATAAAATTATAAGCACCTGGAGTGCAGAGTAGTTGAGGCTATAATACGGTAGAATTCAGGCCCTGGCGTTTACTAATTGAGCAGGTCACTTTACCTCTCAGCCTTGGTTCCTTATCTCTAAACTGTGCATAATACTTTCCTAATGAGATCATTCTAAGGATTCAACTATATATCATACGTGCCTCGTTCAGCCCAGCAGATGGCATCTACAAGCACTTAGTAAACAGGAGATCTCCCCCAGCAGTCCCAACACTCAGTAAACATGTGCCTTATGAATGTCCCACCTCCAGGTCCCTCCCAGACCAACGTCTGCTCCCACATGCTCTGCCTTCCTTCCTGTACTGGGGGATATGGGGGACACCCTCTTCCCTGTGGGCTAGTTCCTGTCCCTTCTTACCTTCCCAGAGACCTCACTCACGTAGTCACCTCCATGTTCTCCTGCATCATCAATTTCCCTCCCTTCATGTAATTATGCTGTGAGATCGCTCTACCTAAAACAAACAAAAAGCCCTCCCTTGATCCCACCTTCTTCCTAGTTACCACTCCATTTCCCTTCACAGTGGAGAAGTCCCTGAGCGAATTGGCATACAGCACTGTGTCCCCTTGTACTGCCATTCCCTCTTGAGCCCTGTCCACTCAGGCTTTGACCCCTGTCACTCCACTCTAACATCTCCAATGGCCTCCCCATTGCCAAGTCCAGCGCCATCCTTAGGCTTCTTACCGTGCAGCCTCTCAGCAGCAGCACCTGAGACCACTGATGAGTCCTGCCTCCTTAAAGCACCTTCTGCCCAGGCCCCCCAGACCCACACTCTCCTGGTTTTCCTCCAGTCCTACTGGCTACTCCTCCATCTCCTTTGCTGGACGACTCCTCCCTTCTTCCTCACCTCTAAGAGTCAGGGCCCAGGGCTGTCCTCGCACTGCTTCTCATCTCTATCTCCATTAGAGTAGAGGTGATTTCCTCCACTTCCGTGGCTTTAAATGCCACCTAAAAAAATGCCCACATTTATGTTTCAAATCCAGCCCTCTCGCAGCATTCCAGACTCACAGGTGCAGCTCCTACTCCTGTCTCCCCTTGGTGTGTCACAGACACTTCAAACTCAACATGTCTAAAACAGAACCCTTGATTCTCCAACCTGCCCCAACCCACCCTTCCCACGAGCTTTCCCATCTTAGTAATGACTCTCTCTCCTTCCAGTGGCTGAGGTCAAAACCTCAGGAGTTATCCTTGGCTCCTCTTTCTCTTAAACCTCATCAGGTCAGCAAGTCCTGTCAGTCAGTTCCACCTTCAAAATAGAGAATCAGGCCACTTCTAACCACCTCCGCCTGCCATGGTCCAAACCACTGTCACCTCTCACATGGACAACCCCAGGACTTCCTGAGTGGGTTCACTGCCTCTGTCTTCCCCCAGCCCTCCAGTCTATTCTCCACCCACAGTCAGAGTGATGTTTTCAAAGTTTGATTAATGTTATTCTTTGGCTTAAACCCCTCCAGTGTCTTCCCCTCTCACTCAGAATAAAATCCAAATTTCTATGGTGGCCTGAAAGGCCCTGTAGGACCAGCCCTGCTACCTCTCTGGCCGTGTTGCCCATGGCGCTGTCCTTGCCCACTCTGCCCGGCCACGCTGGCCTCCGTGCTGTTCCGTGAGCAGGCCGCAAGCCCTCCTGCCCTGGGCTTTTTGTAATTGCCCTTCCTTTGGCCTGGAGTGCTCAGGTAGGGGTAGGCTCACTCCCTCACTTCCTTCAGGTCTCTGCTCAAAGGCCACCTTACTGGAGAGGCTGTCTACACCACTCTAAAATGGCACCCTGGCACCCTCTGACCCTAGCCTTTATTTTTGCTGCCACTAACCACCATCTGACCTTATATTTACGTGTTTTTGTCAACGTCCTCACCACTAATGACACAAGAGGACCTTTGATGCCTGGCACATAGTAAGTACTCAGTAGATGGGCAGGGGACATTGTATGTAGCCTGGAAGAGCCTGACTGGGTGTAGACCCTAGTCTCTGCCCTGCCACTTCCCTGCTGTGTGATGGTGGATTTTACTTAACCTTTCTGAGCTCCAGTTTCCCTCTCTGTAAAATCTGCCGTGAAGGTTTTTTAGTAGGAGGATTGGAGATAACACATTTAAAGTACCTGAGACATAGCACTCAGTGAAAAGGAGGCTGCAAAGGCCACAGAGCTTCTCTGTAGGCTTGTTTCCAAAGAGTTAATAATCTCATCTCTGTCTGCCCCAGTATGGAGGGCTAATGTGTCAAATGAAGGAAGTACTATATAAGGGATATTGATGCATTCTCTTTGCCAGACCCTGTCCTAGGGCCCCCTAATCATTGTTTCTGGCTCCAGCCAGTTCCTTACCACATCCCCCTCAGATGGTGGCCACCTCTAAGCAGGTCCTGCAGGTTGAGACCCTCTCCCAACCGTGCTTTGGATCCAGGTAGCCCCCAGTGTGGGAAGCAGAGGTGCTTGCTGGGAATGTGTGGGTCTGTCTGGACTTCTGAGCCATGGGTCCCATGTATCCTTCTCTGGCAAAGGAGGTATCTGTCTCTGGGATGGGCGACACTGGGCAGGGCTAGGTAGTTCGCAGGTCAGGTTTCCCCTAGCTGGTCAATGAAATGACTAAAGAAGAGTAGTTTCCCTGTGCACCACCAGGGGGCGCCAGAGGCTGCTCAGCTCTGGCCAGATCGTATCTCCTAAGGCATCAACCTTCCTTCTCAGCCCTGGGGTGTAGGCAGCAAAGAGGTGTGGGCACCCAGGAGTCTTGCAGAAAAAGAGGCCTGGCACTGACCCGCTCTCACCTACCCACTTGCTGGGGACTGCCAGCCAAAGCAAGGTCACATTAAGGGACTGAAGGTCAGGATTCCAGGTTCTTTATTGGTAAGTGTTAGTGAACTCCTTGCCCTGTGAGCTCAGCCAGTCTCTGCCCTCAGATGCCAACCTCAGGGGGAAGTGCATCTTTGCCTCAGCTGCCTAAGTCTGGTTCTGCCAAGGCTAGGCCTAATTTGCCACACTGTCCCCAGGAGCCCCAGTGTTTAGGGAGATACGTGGCAGGTTCAGGAGGCTCATGGCCAAGTCCTTGTCCTCAAAGACCACTCTCCATCTAGGAGAGGCGCAGCTTCCTCTGCACAGACTCTGAGGGGGGCTCCTGGAGCCTGATGGTTGATGGAGGGGCTGGGCTTTCCCTGTGAGACTCTTCCTGCCACATGTTCCTCCACAGCAGGCTGAGCTGAGGGCAGCAATTGGCTCTTCCATCTCTTCTGAAGTTCTTGATGGCTGCAGGATTGTCAAGGGCAGGAGGTCCTGGGCAGGAGGTCCTAGGTGGTGCCTCAAATGGGATACAGATGCCAGAGGCTGTTGAAGGGGGTGGGAGGGAGGATAAGCCAGAGAGAGAGTCAGTTAAGCCCCTTGGTGATCTGATCTTACCAGCCCCAGTCCCTGGCCATTGGCTATTGTCTTTGACCAGCCCCTGAGTCCCAGATAGTCCCTTGGGCCCTGGGTGCACCCTTTGCCCCAACATTAGCTCGAAGAGAAAAGAATTACTAAAGGAACCTTCTGCCCTCCTAAGCCAGGATCTTAGAGAGCCTTCTTGTATCTCTGCAAGGACTGGAGGAGTGGGGGAGGGTCCCCAGACCTGCATCCCCTTCTCCTGAGGCAAAGCAGCCCCACCCAGGCCAACAGAAGGTCCTGGCTCCCTTGGACACGCCCCACCACCTGTCTGACCTGCACTGGAAGCGGGGGTCTCCGAGGTGGGTCCGTAGCACCTCATGCACCTTTAGGGGAGGGTCCAAGCCCATCTGTTCTGCCCGATGCCAGCGCTGCAGCCGTGTGATCCCTGCCAGTGGGAAGACGACACGGGGACTTTATGGGGCAGAATGTGTGTTGGGGTGTGTCCAGAGCCTCACACCCCAGTCCCAGGAGACAGTGTCCCAGAGAGGCAGGCAGGGCTTGTGATGCTTCACGGCTGGCTTAGGAAGGCGCCTCGAGGGGCCTGGGTGGGTGCTCACCTGTGCAGGGCCCGTACTGCCAGGCCAGATCAAACTGCCTCAGCAGCTCCAGCTCCGCTTCGTCCACATCCCCGCTGGGGGACTGGGGCTCCTCGCCTGCAATGCGCAGCTTTCCTCAGGCCAGGCCGCCCCTGCCTCCCAGCCGTCCACTGCCCCCAGCCCTCTCCACCCTGTTGCCCCCACCATCCTACAGCCAGACCCTGAGTAGGGAGTGGAGGACATCCTACATGTTCCCTCCCATTCCCCCTCCTCCGGCTGCCCCACACCTCAGAGACCTGGCTCAGCTGCCAGCTCCCCCTTGCTGTGCCCGGCGGGCCCCTCCCGCCTCTTCACTACGGGGTAGGAGTCAGTGATGAGCCGCTTCCGGCCCATGGCGGCCACCCAGGCAGGCGGAGAAGGAGGCGACTGCGGGGAAGAGGAGAAACAGGCCAGGGGCGAGAGAGACAGCTGCTGAGAGGGAGAAGAGGCCAGCGACGGACAGACACGGTGACCCAGACGAGCAGAGGGAGGAAGTCCCGCAGGTTCCAGGGATGACGCCGCTCCCCACCCCCAAGGGCACGCAAACAGGAAAAGCCTGAGCCACTGGCAGGCCGCCTCTGCAGGGCGGAGCCCCGGCTTCAGCCAATGGCGAGCAGCGCGGGGAGGGGGCACATTGGCTGGGCCAAAGGAGCTGTCAGATGCCGCAGACTTCTCCACCTCTGCTTGCCCCCCTTGGTACGCAGGGGCGTCTCCAGGGACTTGCGGAGCGTTATCCTCGGCCTCTCACTTCCCGTTTGCCCTTCCTAGGCAAATGTTCTTTTCAACCTCAGTAATCCCCGTGGCCGTTTTGTAACTCCCCAGAGCCCAACTGGAGGCTTCCGCTAGGCCTCTTGGCTCAGACGCATTGTGGGGGCAGTTCTGGAGGTCCGAGGAGAGTCCGCGCTAATCTCAGCCCCCTTCCCTGCTTCCACCCCACTCCCATGGGCCCAGTAAACCTGTCTGGAAAAGCCCATGGGTTCCGAGAGCTACTTTCTCACAGTCTGCGCCCAGAGACGGCCCACTCTCAGACCAGGCCAGCGTCTGCCTCGTCAGCTCTCCTGGGGGCCCCAGCCCGTCTGCCTGGCTAGTCAGGAAGATGCCATACTGTGCAGGAGGCAGAGCTGGGGTGCTAGACCCCTCATAACTTGCCTGGGTGCCCAGGTCTTCATCGGACACAGCACTTAAAATGTGCCAAGTCGCGTTCCAAGTACTTTCCCACGTATTAATTAAACAGATGTAAAAAAGTTTTCGAAAGTAGGAAGTGCGGCTATGGTATGGTCACTGCTAACCATGCCCTCCAGGAGCTCCCAGGCCATCAGGGCAGGCAAGCCATGCAAGTCGGCAAGGCCAGGAGAAATTCCTAACAGACCAAAGAGGGGAAAAGGAGCATCAGAGACTGCAGAACCCAGGGCTGGGCTAGCCTTGGAAGACCTCCTGGAGGATGCAGGCTGCTGTAAACAGTGTCTCCCAATTCTCCACCCATGACCTTTGTCCCTCGGTCTCCTGTCATCGCTGACTCACCCCTACTCCTGCCTCCCCCTCACCAACTTCCTGGCAGCGGGTGAAAGTGCTGGCCAGTGGGAGTCTGGGAATTTGCAGCGGGCCCAGCACAGCTCTAATCACCCTAGAGGGATCCCATGGGCCCTTCCTTCCACCCCCTAGCAAGGGCTGGAGGGTGAGGCCAGCTCAGAGGGCTCTGGTTCTGCTTTCCCAGGCTCTGAGGTCTGGGTGCGCTGTTAGGAAGAGAGCTGGGCCCCGGGGGGCACGTGGCCAGTGGTCTTTGGAGGAGTAGGTGAGGTGAATGCTCTGGAGAGTACTGCAGGAGGGAGGAGGAGGAGCAGGCCATCGTTCAGGGGCTGCCTCCTGCCTGGCTCTCCATCACCTTCGCTAAGGGGAGCTGAGCAGGCAGTGAGCATGCTGTGGGTGCGCTGCACCAGGCTGGAGGCCCTTCCTTGCTTTATTGTCTGGGCTGGGCCATCTAATCCCCCCATCTGCCTCATGGACTAAGTGGGGCCCACATCCAGGGAGGCAGAGGCCCAGCCGAGTTGGGGTGGGAGCAGGGAGACCTGTTCCACGGGGCTGGGAAGGGCTCGGGTGTTGAGTCCAGCCAGGCACTGAGTGCTCTCTGGAGGGACAGTGCTAAGCTCTGGGGGACTGGCCACCCCTTCCCGGGGGCCTCAGCAAGGACTTCCTGGACTGCTCCCAGAGGTGCATTGCACCCAGTGTCCCAGCTGTTGCCACCGCCCACCTCCTGAGTCCACAAAGCCCTGAGGGAGTAGGGAGCCATGGGTGGGGCAGACCCCTCCTCATTCCTGATCCTTCCCACCCCTGAAAGCTGATAGCCGTGGGGCCCTGTCACCGCCCAGGGAGCGTGAAATGGGGTGTGCCGCTGGGCGGCCACAGCAACTCCTCTTGCATCCTGGGCTTATGCCCTCCTCTTCGTCTGCAGCCTCTGACTCCCTGGCCTGCTCTGTGGGCATTGTCTGGGCTGTCCCTGCCAGCAGCCCCCAGCTCTGCCTGGCTCAGGCCCTGTTGGCCTGTCCCACCCAGCGGGAAGATGTCTCCCTTGGGCTTCAGCTCCCCCCAGCCCCAAGAACGAGATCAGAATGGTCAGCTTGAGCCCAGGCCTCTGAGGCCTGGCTTTCTGGCCTGGAGTGAGGGAACTCTCCACAGGCAGTCTCAGCCTCTCCTCCCATCAGACAGTGGGACAAGCCCCGAGGGAGGGTGTACCCATTACCGGAACCATCCCTGTCCCTTGTCCTCCCTCCCCGTCAGACAGTGGGACAAGCCCCGAGGTAGGGTGCACCCATGACTGGACCATCTGTCCCTTGGCCTTGCTCCCTGTCAGGCAGTGGAACGAGACCCGAGGGAGGGTGTATTCACAGCTGGAGCCATCCTTGTCCTTTGGCCTCACTCCCTGACTTGGCATCTGGACCCCAAGGTGCACTGGGAACTAGACCAGACCTCACCTGCCACCTTAGTCCCTTCCTCCTTGCCCCCCACCTGTCTGCCTCCTATCACCTACCTGCCTGAACTCCTGCCCTACCCAGGCAGCCTCCTGGGCCATCCCTAAAACCTCTGTCCTGGGGTTTGTCACAGTGGCAGCTTCAGGCTGGAGAGCCAGCTGAGAGCTGAGTTGGGGACTAAGTTCTCTCTTTTTGGGGGAATGTCCTGAGACCCAGGCTCAGGTTCCTTGCGTCACCCTGACACCCAGAGGCTGGTGATGGGACTGACAGGACTGACCTTTGACCCTCTGCCAGGAACCCTCAAGGGGAGCCCAGAAGAGAAAAGAGCTGGAGCAGGAAGGGGCCCAGCACCTTCCTGAGGGCTGAATCCCACGGCTGACTGCTTCGAGGGGAAGGGGATTAGGCCTGACTTAGCTCAGACAATGTGGCAGGATGGGAGGGGGGCTCAGCACTGCAGCTGCACCCTGCGAGCCCCCTCCCTGCCCCTAGCTCACAATGGGGCTTGTGGGGAGTGCCAGGTAGAGCTGGGAAGTTAGGGGCAGGTGAGAGAGGAAAGCAGCTGCCTGGGGCCCAGGGGCTGTGGGGCATATCCTGTTCTTCCCTCTCCCTCAGCACTCTGCTGCTCAGGCCCTCGGGCCCTGCCACCCACCCTGAGCTGGAAATCAGGGATTCTGGGCAGCCAGACTGACACCCTGGCCCCCAGCATACTCACATGCCCCAGGCCCCATTCCTGCAGCTCCTCCTAGGCCCTCACTGCACTCCCAGACACCCCTCCTCCCAGTAGAGTGGGCTTAAGGGCCTGCGGGAGCCTGTTCAAGGTAAGGGTTCCCCAGGGTCTCTGGGCTCCTCTGCCACAGGATGTCTCTTCTGTCTCCTCCCAACCACCACCCTCCATACCTCCCTATTCACCTTGACCATCCTGCTCTGGAGAAGTCCTGAGAGAGATGAAAAGGGGCCTTTCTGGCCATTGCTCACCGTGGCCACTAGGTGTCAGACTTTGTCTAGCTGGACAGAAGGTCCTCCTTAACTGTTTCTATCCCATCCGCCTGGCCTTGGAGATCAGAGCTAGTTGGGGAGGGGCCTAGGGGTGACCTCTGACCTAGTGAGGCTAAGGGACCCGATGGTTGTGACTGGGAAAGGGCTGGACCTGAAGCTTTCTCACAATCCCTCCCCTTGCCACCCCACCCCACTGATAAGGGCTTTGTCCACTGCTGGGAAATTGGGGAACCAGGCTGAGTCAGGGAGCTCAAGGACTGAAGGGACAAAGGCAGGGACAGTTGTGGCGCCAGAGAAGAAGGGGGGCTGAGAGGGGGCCGCCCATCAGAGCCCTCAGCGGGCCTGAATCACTGCCCTTGCCCTCTAGGTTAAGGGGCACAGAGGCCTCGCTTTGCTCTTCCCCGTTTGGGGTGGATGAGTGCGTGCGTGTGTGTGAGTGTAAGATGAATGCTTGACTGAGTCTCCGCATACACCAAGGAGACCCCTGAGCCCTGGGTGTCGGGCCCGTCTTTGCAGAAGGGGAAAGCTAGCAAAGTGCCAGCTAACCTTGTACGTGCCGCCACCAGAGCTTCTTCTATGCCCACTCCTACCCAACCCCACCGGAGTTGCCACCCTCAAGGAGCTGACCCCCATCTTGTGCATCCTCTCAAGCACAGGTGCGTTTCCAGGCACCCTGGGTGACAGTGTGACTCTAATCCCCAGTGCACGCCAGCTGGCGAGGACAGTGAAGAGGGCCTTCTCTCCCTCACGCCCATTCTCCCAAGCCTTCCTGGGAACATAGACTTCTAGAGATAACATCCCCCAGGACTCTGCAGGGCGCCAGGCAGTCTGGGTTCTTAGGATACCTGGGCTCTTGCCTGTAAGGCCATACTTAAGTGGTGGGACCTCAGATATCCAAGGAAAGCTCACCAGGAACCTCACCACACCTCCTGAGGCAGCTGTGGATGGAGAACCAATGACAAACTCACAGAAAAGACTGATGACCCATCCCTGGCCAGCAGACCTGTGCCAAAGAGCCGGCGTCTTCATAGGCGACCCATGGGACACAGTGCCAAAGCCCAAAGGAGGGTTCATACCCTGACACCTCATTAGGGAGCTGTCTGGGGGAGAGACTTCAAGAAATGTCCTCTCTAGTGGCAATCTCCTCTGCAGCCCCCTCTCCCGCCGCCCCCCTCTCCCCCTGGAGCATCCTTATCTGCTTCTCTCACCCTTCCCATCCTCAGTTTCCCCTCACTGTCACCCTGCCTGCATTCTGTGGTTCACAGCCAGCCAGCAGTCTAGCACCCTAGAACCCCTCGCCCCTGACGGTTCTCTGCCATTCCTGCCCTGTGAGTAATTCAGGCCTTGCATGATGCCGTCTCTTCACTTGTCCCCCCTCTGCTGCTGGAGAGTCACATTCCATGCTGACTGACAGCCCTCTGGTAGTCGCCAGGCCTCTCCATTCTTACCCAGCCACCACCCTGCACTTAGCCAATGGCATGTTTAGATCTCTTCTATTTAAAAACAACACAAAACAAATAAAACTCTTCCTTGGTCCTGCTACCCCCTCTAGATATTCCTTTTACCCCCAAACTCTTGAGTGAATACACTGACCACTTCCTTTCCCACCATATCTTTGAATCTTATAATTGTCTGCCTCACAACTGCTCTTTCAAAGATCACCTATGGCTGCCTAATGACCAAAGCCAATGGATTTCTCAGTATTCTCTCAATTTCTCTGGGACAGCTGAGACTGTTGATCAGATGCCTCCTTAAAACTCTCTTCTCTTGACTTCTAGTACACTGTCATCTTGATACCCTTTCAAACTAAAACCAACCCGTTGCCGACGAGTTGGTTCCTGTTCATGGCGACCCCATGTGGTACAGAAAGGAACTGCTCCATAGGGTTTTCATAGCTGTAATCTTTATGGAAGCAGATTGCCAGGCCTTCTTCCACAGTGCCACTTGGTGGGTTCAAACTGCCAACCATAGTAGTCGAGTGCAAACTGCCTGTGCCACCCAGGGACCTTGATACTCTTTAAATGACTTTAATTCAACAAACTACCAAGCCTTTCACTGTGTGCCAGGTATCGTGCCCACTGCTGAAGTGTTGCAGAGATGAGTAAGTTCCTGGCCCCTGCCCTCTGACACTATCTGCTTGACTGGCAGACAGGCAGACTGAGCTAGCCATGATCCTGTCCCATTTCGCAAAATTCTGCCCACCCACAAGACCAGTGTCAAATCCCACCTTGTGCATTTATGCAGAAGGTGACTACTGGGTACCTACTGTGAGTTAGGCTCTGGAAACAGGAAGACTGGAGACCTCCTCCCCTCTGGCAGACCAGCAGGGCCTTCACTCAACCAGCTGAGGTCACACCTTCCTTGATGCCATTAGTACTTTCCCGCATCTTTCTTTCTGCACTTAATTGAATTCTGCCTTGTGTTCCAGCACTGGGTGGGCGAGGAGCATCCTGTTCCCTTCATTCGATTATGTTGTGCAGCACACATTTATTGAGTGCTTTCTTTGGGCTGGGCCTGAGCTGGGTGCTGGTGATAGAGAGATGAAGGAGGACTCGGAATCTGTCCTCAAGCAGCTCACTGTCGAGTTGTGTGGGGGGGGAAGCATTTCTCTCCATATTCCTCCTGTTGTATGGTGCCTTACATATGACAGACATTTTGGTCACACATGGAGAGAGTTCCAGATGCCCCTCTTTTCTATCTTGTTAGGCAGGATGCAGGGCCTGGGGGTGCCCCTGGCTGTGGCTGGCAGATGTCTCTGCCTCAAGAGCCTGGACCCCTCAGGGCAGGAAGGTGCCCTCCAACTTGGGCCAGGTGACCCAGGGACATTCAGTAGAGCCTGATGTGCTCTGCCGACGAGCAAGTCCAGTGCCTTCTGCCCCCTCTCCACTCTGGCCTCCCCTTTCCCCTTTCCCAGCGGGATTTGCACATGTTGGTTCCTCCCACACCATCTGGCATGGGTATGCTTTTTTCTCTTATTGTTTCAGGAAAGCCGGTCTTTTCTTCCCAAGTAGATGGCAAGCTCTGTAAGGGCAGGAGCCAAGCTCAGTCTTGGACTTCTGGCTTTCCTGTTCCAGTTAGCACAGGGATGGGCAGGTAATTAAGGCTTTAAAATAGCTGTCAACTGACTGACATTACCATCATTTGTTACTTCCGTGGCTTAAGGCATTGTCTCAGGAGGCCCTTGTCAAACATCCAGTGTACTACCTTGGGGCAGCTAACCCATTCATTTACCCAGTGTTTCTTCCCTAGAGGGTCATGACAAGCTGATGTGTCCCGAGTAATTTGTAAGTGCTACAGTTGCTGCTGCTGATGCAGCCTAGCACGTTACCTTCACTGTTCCTGTTTCCCTTCCCAGTGATCTTGTCCGGGCGCTACCCTCACTTTGCAGATGGGGTAACTGGAGCTCAGAGAAGGGAAATAATTTGTTGGGGGTTGTTCAGCTCGTAAGTTATGATGCTGGGATTTGAGCCTAGGTCACCCCGCAAATTGATCCATCTCACTCCCTTGCAGCCCAGTAGGAGCCATCCCAGCCTCCCACTCCCATGTACTTCTTACCTCAGAGAGAGAATGGAGTCCCAGCTGAAAACTGTGACTTAGCTGCAGTCTGTCATACTCCCTAGGAGATGGAGGGTATTGAGAAGGTGAGGAGCGCTGCTCTGGGGTCCCCAGCGGGCGGCCACAGATGGGGGTCCTGGGAAACTGGGACCAAGTGCCCAGGGGCTGACCACTTGGGAGAGGGCCCCAGAGGGGCAGGTGAACAGCTCTGCTTGGATGTGGAGGGTAGGCTGGAAAGGAGAAGTTCAAGGCGGGAAGCCAGACCCATGAGACCATTAAGTGACCCACAGGGGTGAGGAGGACAGACCAGAGGCAGGGAGGAAGAAAGGAAGCGACAGACAGAAGATACCTTGGAGGACTACCTGACACAGTTGGTGGAGCAAGCAGGAGCAGAGATGCATTTGCACAGCTTCCTGTGGGGAGGGAGGAAGGAGAGTCTCTCCCCCAGCTCTGCATCTCCCGAATGGACCCTTGGGGCTCCGGGCCCTCCACTAGTGGCAGTGGGAGCCAGGGGATGGGAAGGGCCGGGAGAACCAAGGAATGAGAAACGGGAGGAGGGGTGAGGCCAGCCAAAAAGAATAAGTTCTGGGGAAAGCATTTTATTTGTTAATACAAGAATAGAAATTCTGCAATAAATATCATCTAATAAATAACATCTCCAAATAAATAAATATTAATACAACAAACTTAGAGTCATGAGTGGGTGGGGCTGAGGGGCAGGGCCAGGGGGAACTGCCCCCTACACCCCGAAATGCTACTGCAATGTAAACTTTCAGGAAATCCTGTGGCTGTGGCTATGGTTGCCCTCCCCAGCCTGGGCAACCCATAGATACCCTGGGGAAGGGGCGGGAGGAGGCACCGTGATGCCGGCAAGACACCGCAAGGCAAGGTCCAGATGCTCACCGTGGCTTTGTTTGCCACCCTGGGCCGCCGATTGCCTTGGTGGCCCCTGGGTCCGGTCTGTCCCTGCCCCTCTGCTTTCAGTATTACCTCTCTGGTTTACAGGCCACCTCCAATGCAGAGCCCACCTCTTCCATCTTTAATCCTGTTCTTCCTGCTTAGTTGTGCCACCATGTTTGTTTCCTGACCCGGACATGTAGTTATTTGGGGGTGGGGAAACAACACACATCCAAGGAGAGTGGGCAGCCAAAGGGCTTCACCCCCAGAAAGGCACTTGCTGTGATGTCCCCAATCCCTGCCCTACTGTCACGCTTCCTGGAGGTGCTTGAAAGGCTGGGAGGCACTGGCTATGGTGGGCAGGAAGCAGGAGACCTTTGTGCCAACTTAGACCACTTGGGGCTCTCTTGAGCAGTACTTCTTGTGGAAATTGGATAGGGCCTATTGCACCTCTTCCCCAGACCTGTAGGACTTGGGGAGGCGGGGAGGGGACAGGGCTACTGCATCACACCCCTGTCCTGTCCAGGGGAGGGCCAGAGGCTCATGGCTTCTGTCTCCTGGCTCAACAGGTGTTGGCATACAGATTTCTCTCTCCCAGAAGGGAGCATGGTTTCAAGGGGAAGGGGGAGGAGGAAGATGGTAAGGCAGAGATCAGAAGCCATGGGCCTCCAGGCGCAGGGTAACCGCAGCCGCTGAAGGCTGCATCTTCTTCTTGAGCCGGTTGAAGTCCTTGGCTGAGCGCCACAGCCAGGTCTGCAGCTCCTTCAGCAGCCAGAAGTCGTCCATCTTCTGGAGGAAGTTGCTGTGGGCAGGGCCAGGGGCCCAGGTGGGCTCTGTCCCAGGCAGGGGCTGGGGCAGCGGGTAGCCCAGGGCTGCCATGACGCCTGCAATGCTGCCCAGCAGGCCCTGGAGGCTGGTGCAGAAGTGGGCCAGGCTGCGGCGCAGCTCAGCTGTGGCGGCCTGGCGGTTGAGGCCTCGCAGGTAGCACAGAAGGTGGCTGTAGGCCTCGTAGTTCTGGGTCAGCCGCAGTTTGTCGTTGAGGCTCCGCCACACGTCAGGGTCGACAGTGGCTCTGGGCAGAGTCTCTGCCCCTAGCCGAGGTGGGTTGAAGTCAGGCTCATTGAAAGGGGGGCCCAGGTAGTTCAGCTGTAGAAAGGAGAGGGCAATGGGGAGGAGGGAGGGCGGAGCAGCAGCTCTGCGAGGGGCCACCTGCCCCAAAGTGTCTGCTTTGCGTCTGCCCTGTGACTGGCCCCATCCACGCTATGCCTGTCTGTTCGGGTCTCCCTAAGTCTCTCCGACCAGGATGTCATTTGTAGGGAGGTGACAGCTGAAGCAGTGGGGGTGATGAGTTCTACGGAGAGGTGCAGAAAGAGAAAGGCTGCAGTGGATGCTCAGTCAGGACACGCTGACTGCTGGGTGTGTGGGGGCCCCCCGCGGGGCAGGGTAGAGAGGCGCCAGGAGGTGAGGCTGGAGAGGCAGAGGCCAGGGAAGAGGAGCTCAGAAGGCAGCAGAGCTCGATAGTGTGGCTGCAAAACAGAAGAGAGAGAGTGAGAACGAGAACAGGCCGGCGACCGCAGCGAGCCAGTGGTGACTGCCGACCTCGGAGACAGCCGCCTCAGCAGACTGGAAGCCAGATTGCAGGGGGTTAAGGAGTGAGTGGGTGGAGAGGAAGTGGAGGCAGAGGGTGTAGACCACTCCTTCGAGAAATTTGGCAGGGGGAGCCAGGAGAGAAAAAGGGTCGGGAACTAGAGGGGGTAGCAGAAGCAAGCAACGGTTTTCTGGCCAGGGAGACATCGAGCTGCCTCACTCAGCTTGGACCTGCCTGGTCCCACCCAGCTGCAGGGACAAGGGACAGATGGGTACTCACTGACACCCCAGGAGGGCCTTGGCTAACAGGAGGAGGGCTGCAGAAGGAAGAAACTGAGGCAGTCTCGAGAGTGGGGCAGGAGGAAGGGTCTGGAAGGTATATAGGGAGGAGGGCAGAGCCCTTGCCAGTCCTCGGGGAGAGGCCTGGGGCCCAGGAAAAGGGCCGAGGACCCTGTCAGCAGAGAGAAAGGGAGAAGAGAGGGGCGAGGCCTGGGATAGGCAAGGGCCCAGGGGGAGGTTCACACGCTGACAAGCACAGAGACAAACTAATTTCCTCGGTGTATCCTGGGGCTGGAGCCAGCTCCCCCGCCACCCTCCTCCCCTTCCTTCCCTGGCTCCAGAGTAGGGTCTGGGATTGGAAGAGGAACTCGGGAAGAGGGGCCAGCTCCCCATGGTCCTTGGCTCCTCTGACCTCTTCATTCCCTCCTGGGTTCTCTGAACACCTCTGGACCGTCCCCAAGCCCTTAGAACACACCCTCCATCCCTGCCCTAAACCCCTGCCAACACCAGCCTGGGTCCCTGCTGCCCCTCTCCCCCAGGACCCCTGAGGAGGCCCAGCCAGGATGGGAGAGGCAGACAGAAGGGAGGCCCAGGGGTCCTGAGCAGCAGGGGCCCAGGAATGGGGGCAGGGGAGAGCTGGAACACAGGCATGGGAGGTGGGGCCCCTCCATCCCCACCCAGCCCCGCCCGTGTGAGAGACACCACAACACGGTGTAAACAGAGGAGACTTCCCCGGCCCCCAGGGGGAGGTGGGTGGCTGGGCCGGCAGCCAGTGGGGCAATGGGCCAAGGCGGGTGCGAGGCCTGCCCACATGCCTAGTCCTGGGGCCAGGGATAGGGAGGAGGGGGGCGCTCAGAGGGAAGGGCAGGAGATAGGCCAGACAGGGGGACTGCTTGGAGCCAAAGGGCCTCTCCTCAGCACCCCCTCACTCACCAGGCCCCCCATCACCTCTTCTCCCCCAGCTCTGCTTCTCAGTCTTCACCCAGCCCCCAGACCCCTAAGCTGCCCTGATACTCACATAAGTCCCAGCCAAGCTGCGGAGTTGGTGCTCCAGGTAGCGGGTGAGGTCATAGGTTTTCTGGATAGAGGGGCCGGGCCCTGGGTCCCCTGTGCGGTTCAGGGCTGGCACTGCAGGGAGGTGCCAGAGCACAGTGCACAGGCAAGCTAGCAGCCCCCACGAGTCCCCTGTGGACAGAAGGAAAGGAGCATGAAGGGGCCAGGCCTAGTGAGGAAGCAGCTGGCAGCCCCTCAGGTGTCTGTCCCCACCTTGGCTTGTGGGGGGGGGGACGCCAGATGGGAGGCAGGGGGGATGGAGGAGGGGAAGTGTTCCTGGCCTGAGAAAGTGTGTGTGTGGAGGCATGTATGTGTCTGAGGATGGGGCTTGGCATGTGTGTATCTGCATATCAGCAGATACTTGAGAGTATGTTTGTGTGGCAGCTAAGAAAGAGTCCTTGGCATGTCTGTCACTGCATGTGTGCCAACATGTATGTATGTGTACAAGGCGTGCTGGGACCATTCCTGGGTTCCGAGCGCACCTCGGTCTCCTCTCCCATTCTCCCAGTCCCACTGCAGCGTGAGGGGAGCCAAGGAGAGGGGAGGTGTCTGCCTGAGGCTGAGGGAGGGGTACAGCAGGGAGGGCTGCGGGCTGAGAACAGAACAGACTGGCCGGGCCGCAGGTTTAGGGAGAGACCACTGGGGCTGGCTTCTGGAGTTGGTGGCGGGTATACTCTAGAATGTGATTCCTGGGCACGGGAAGTGTAGGTAGTTAGACTGAAGGATTTTTCGTGCTCACTCTCAGGGATTGGCTGCAGTGTGGAGGTTTGCTCCATTCTTACCTAGGGTGTTAGATGGGGAAAAGTTTGACCTGAGTGAAGCCTTTCCATCAGCCTGCAGTGGGAACTGAGAGAGAGAGACGGGGTGGGGAAGAGAGGGAAATAGAGATGCATTTGATGAATTGGGCTTGTCAGCTGATGGTGCTGGAGAGTGTGGGTATCCAGGATGCAGGGGGCCAGAGGCTAGGGGTCTTTACAGGGGGCCAGAGGCCAGGGGTCAGTGCAGGGGGCCAGAGGGGCTAGAGGCTAGGGATGTAGGCAGCTGGGAAACATGCACTTCTGGGCTTTTAGGTGAGGTCTAAGGTCTAGCACACTAAGCCCAGATTCAGTGGGCATTGGGATTGGGTAAAGGCAGTTACAGATAGGATAGGGTAGGGATAAAATTGGCATTGGCTAGGTTAGGTTTAAAGACTGGGTTACTTTTTAAAGTTTCTGGGTGGTTTAGACTTGGGACTTGGTTGAGTGAGTTTGGTTGAGCTTTGAGTCCAGCAGGGGATGTGGTTAGGTTTGGGCAGGCAGAAGGTTAGCTGAGGCTAAATCTTGGGCTTGGCATGTCGTTATAAGGGCTAGTAGGGGTTTTAAGCTTGGACAGGTGTGAAGTTATGGGTGGTTTCTTTCCTCTAGTTTATATTTTGTACTTTCAAATACTTCTACAATGATAGGAATTGCTCTGATAATTAAAAATAAGTGGGATAAGTTTACAATTGGACTACACTAGAGTTAGGACAAGGAGCCCTGGTGGCACAACACTTAAGCGCTTGGCTATTAACTGAAAGGTCAGTGGTTCGAACCCACTCAGCAGCTCCACGGGAGAAAAGACCGGGCGATTGGCTCCCATAAAGATTAAAAACCCATTGCCACTGAGTCCGTTCCGACCCATAGTGACCCTGTATGTCAGAGGAGAGCTGCCCTATAGGGTTTCCAAGGCTGTACATCTTTATGGAAGCAGACTGCCCCATCTTTCTCCTGTGGAGCAGCTAGTGGTTTTGAACAGCCAACCTTTCGGTTAACAGCCGAGTGCTTTAACTACTGTGCCACCAGGACTCTGTCCCGTAAAGATTACAGCCCAGGAAACCTTAGGCAACTGGGGTAGTTCTACTGTGTCATATAGGGTCGCTGTGAGTCAGAATTGACTCGATGGCACACAACAACAGCAGAGTTAGGATAGGGTTTGGAGTTAAGAAAGAATGAAGACTAGTTAGAGTTAGTCATAGTGCTGGCTTACGGTTTTAGATATGGTCACAAACTAGGAAAGGTTTAGGACTCAAACTGTATAAAAATGTCCCATATAAATAGAGTATAGGGGTCAGGTGGGGGATTTTGCAGTGGCCCAACGGGTCCAGGTTGACTCTTTCAGATGCTTGACCCGCTGACTTTATTGATGGAGTGTGGGAGTAGGGGTCCGCAGTCACAGGGACACTCCTCTCTCAGGTGAAGTGCCCTTGGTTTGAGGGTGTGTGTGTATGTGTGTGAGAGTGAGTGTGTGTGTAAGAAAGTAAGTTTAGGCGTGTGTGTTTAGGAGAAGGACCAGGGTCAGGCACATAACTGCCCCGCTTTCTTCCTTCCCTTCTGCAACCTGTGGCTTCCCTGCTGAATGTTCCCCTCCTCCTGCCTTTCCATCCCTAGCTCTTGCCTGACTGACTTTCTTTCTCTTCCCTGCTCTTCACATCTCAAGACCAACTCTAGATCCTTCTCCTATGCAAGAAGCCTTGGGCCCTCCTCAGTCCACCTCCACTGGGGACCTAGTTGGGTAAACTCCAGGATCCTGTGGGTACCACATGGGGTTAGTTTTGGACGGTGGAGACCTGCTGAGGGGGGCAGCAGCCCTGCCAGCCTTGAGGTACCCCTCAGGATGGAGTCTGGCCTAGCTCACCATTAGTGGCAATGTTGGGGGCCTGGTGAAGCAGAAACTGGGAGCCAGGCTCGCCTGTATCCCCACCCTGCCTTGGGGCAGCCCTGCCAGCCAGGGTTCGGGAAGGCTCTGCCTCTCCTACAGAGAGGGGTGGTCAGGAACCCGCTCTGGCCCTGCTTGCCCCCTCCTCTTCTGGGCCCTGTGGGACATCCTGGGGGGACTAGCTCCCTACGCTGGACAGCAGGGGGAGAGGCCTTTGGATAAACAAGAGCTAAGTCATCTGGGCAGAAAAACGGCTCATGAAATTAACCAGACGAGGCCGGTGTTTCCAGGAATATTTCAGTTCTGAGGTAACTGTGTCACTCCAGGCTGGGGGCGGGTAGGGCAGAGAGCAGAGGAACCGACTGACCGTCCCACGGAGCACCAGAGAGGAAGGAGTCTCAGAAGCCAGAGGGAGAAGCAGCAGGAGAATGGGAAGTCAAGGACAGGTGCTGCCTCCACCCCCACCCCCCCCCAGCTCTCATTTTAGGGCCAGGAGGTGTCCCAGTCCCTGTCACCCTAGCTGGGGGGTGGGGGGCACACTATAGCCTCTGGGCAGCAAACACCTGGGCTGGAGCCTGGAGCCTGGAGTGGAGGGAGTGTGCCTGGAGGGAGTGTGCGGAAGGCAGTGTCCTCTCCCAGTGCACACAGGTGGACCTCGCAGGCGGCCTGGGGGGTCTGTCACGACCCCCTCCCCCAATACTGGCCCCTAGCCCGCCCGCCCCAGCTCTGCTCTGGCTGCTGCCCACTGATTGTTTATATCCCGTCTTCTCCCTGTGTTTATAAATCCGCTGAGCACGTGAGAAGCTAATGAGTGCAGCTCACATTTCCTGCTGCAGCCCCCCCATTCCCATCCTGGCCCCCGCCCGGCCAGCCCCTAATTCCATCCAGATCCCTGGGCCCTGGGAACCTTGGCCCCCCTCATGAACACACATACTCAGCCCACGAAAGCACACAGCCACTGACCCGGCTGCCCAGGCAGGCACACTCACCCTCAGCCTGCATCCCCCCAGGCAGCCTGGCTTGGTGGGGTAGGGGCTCAGCGGTGCAGACATGCCAGGGTGGTTGGGTGGGTAGGACTGGTGGCTAAGCCAGGGAGGATCCAGAGAGAGTGTTCCAGAGGTGTGGGTCAGTGGCTGCAGACTGGGCTAAAGATGGGGCCAGCCAGGACTAGCATGTGGGTGACTTAGAGGGGTCTACTGAGGGGAAGTGGGGGATGGAGTGGGTTAGGGGTGCTGTGTACGCTGTGGTGTGAGATCCAGGCACTCTGCCTTCCCAGGGAAGGCCCAAGAGGGGCAGAGGGGAAAGGCCTACAGAAAATGCCCATCTCTCCTGCTCCTCTGGGCTGGCTGCCCTACCCTTGCTTCCTTCTCTCCCGTTGGCCCTCTCCTTGGTTCCCTTTCTCCCAGACTGCTGAGAAGTGGCTCAGAGGCTAGTGGGGAACAGCTGGTGCTACCAACCCCCGGGAACTCTGGACTTGCACGCCAAAGTTCCTCGCGGCTGAGACATGTGGGAATCCGTCTCCTCAGCATCCCCCCTGCCCTGCTCTTCCAGACTAAACCACAGAAGAAGAAACTGAGGCCCAGGGGAAGAAGCAGCGGGTGGGCCAGGACCCTGCCCCGGGAAGTCAGTAATTGAAACATGAGTGGGCTTTGGTTTGAATGAGAGGGTCCCCGACTGGGGCCTAGGAGAAACCCTGGGTGTGTCCATGGTAAGCAGCGTGAAGCCAGCGCAGGGGAACAAAGTGAAGCAGTGAAGGGGTGAGGGGAGAGCATTTGAAAGGGTGCTGTTATCAAGAGTGTGCAGGAGGCTGTGGGAGGGGCTCTGAGGGACCAGGCCAGAGGCAGGTGGGAACAGGCAGGTGGGATTGTGGGGTGGAATGTGAAGTGTGGTAACTGAGGAGCTGGGGCAGGGGTGTGCAGATGTGGGACGGGACAGGCATGTGGGACTGTGTGTGTGGAGAGGACAGGGGCCGGCACACCAGTCTGGGCTGGTGGGGGATAGCGGCTGTCATGTCCGCCTGTTGCCTGGTTAGCTGTGGGGCTGGGGGCTGCGGCTATGAGCCAGTGGCAGGAGCGGGGCTAGCCTGTCAGGTACACAGGGCCATGTCCCTGTGTCGTGTTTGCTCAGGGGTCAGGGCAGTGAAAGCCCGGAGATGCATCTGCCTGGGTCTGGGTCAGAGCGACCACGACAGAGAAGTGTGTCTTGATATCCTCCCCAAGACTCAGTCTGCTGCTGCTCACGCAGGCCAGCCCCCTCCTGAGGAAACAGGGCGGGGTCCCCTGGGGTTGGGGGTCTGCGGGGAAGGTTCCAGGAGCGCAGTGTTGTGCTGCCGGGAAGGAAGGTGGGGGCGAGCAGAAATGAGGAAGACCTGGCGGCCCAGGCTTCCTCGCCCGCAGCCCCCTCAGTGGTGACCTCTGGCTCCCGGACCCCTCCGCCGGTGGCGGGGCCTTCCCCCTGTGTGGCCCCGGCACCCCCGGCCCCGCCCCCGGCCCGCTCCCGCCTGGTCGCTCCCTTCCCGGCGGCAGGGGCGGCTCCGGGGCTCCCGGGCCGGGCCCGGCCGCTGCCCTTTCCCGCGCGCCAGCTCCCTGCCCGGCCCGCCCTCTGCTCCCCGCCCGGCCTGAGCCGCGTAAGGGCCCCGCCGCCGGCGCCGCTCCCGCTCCCCGGCCAGTGACCGACTTTTTCCTGCCAGTCCGGCCGGGCTGCGCCCGCCCTCCACACTAATCACTCCCAGGCCCCCGCGGCTGCCCGCCGTCCGGAACCTACCTGCCGCCGGCTGCTCGCCGGCCGCAGGCTGCATGGTGGGCTCGGGCAGGCTGTGCGAGTCCCGC